AATTTTAGGCATAAAATAAAAGAAATATATTCAAAACTTATTGCATTCAAAATATTTTAACTAAAAGATCGTATGCAATTGGGTATTGAGACAATAGAAAGTGTAGTCTCGATTCATGCAACCCAAACAGGCGGGCCTCGTTCAAGACTATGAAGACAACCGTACAGGTATCGACTGTACTGTACAAAGACTACACGTACACTCCTCTTCGAAGACGAGTCTACTTCTACATCCGGAAGTGAAGCCGAATGGACGAATCCTCGCTCTTATCCTTCTCATTTCCTGTTAGCGTGTCGGATAACCTGAGTAAAATTAGAACCGTTAACGGCCGCTAGAGTGCGTTCGCCGGTCACGTGGTTAATTGTATAGAAGACCATAATACCAGTAGATCGTTATAAATGAAAGTGGCAGAATTTTGTAGTACCGAGTTCTGGGTGAGTATTTAATCATAAATTACACTAATTTTAATAGTAGTGTGTCGTCACGTAGCGCTTCTAGAATAACAATTACGTTACAGTCGATCGTTTCCGAATATATTAAGTCTAGTAGTCGACTCGTCCTCGGTATTATCAATGGATTTATTAGATCGATACAGGCGTCTGGTCGAGGGGTTGACGTTAGAAGCATTCTGAGACGTCGATGGCAGCACTCGCTGGTCGATACCAAAGCCGCAGTCCAGCAAGTCGTAACGCCGAGTGGCTGTTACTCATTGCTGATGCAATCTCTGAAAGCTCCGGGCTAAAGAAGGAAGAATCAACTGGATAATGTACAGTTCCTTTCAAATTTATGCACAAACAACAAAACCCGTTGCATCTATTTAATACTCGGGTCTTAAAATATATATAACGAATTCTTTGTATTTTTTTTCTAATACAAAACGCGTCGAACCACATTCGAAGATTCAAACTCGTTGGAGATCGCTTCTTAGAACAAATAATTGCTTGAACTTCTTTAGAATATCTTTTTAAAAAAATTTTAAACTAGTTGCTGTACTTTTCTAAAAAGAACCGATTATTTTTTTGTGATCGGCTGGAAGATTAATTCAAAGATTTGGGCTTCCGCATCTTCTCATTGGCGTATTTCTTCTAAAATATTCGAAATTAGAGTATTTGAGATCAATAATTAATCAGTTAAAACAGTAATTTACTTTGTTTTAAAATTTTCATGCGTGTTTGTGAGAATATTCTCTCTATAAAAATTTATCACCGTTTATTTATTTCCAAATTGAAAGCGTTCGTGAATAATTTATTAAGGGATGAAAAGATATCGAATGTACACTAATTTTAACAATATTTATTTATTTATTTATTTATTTAAAGTATTCTTAAATGTTTTTATAGATTGCTCAATGTTGAGTAAACATAACGAAAATCAAATATATGACCAATTTATTTTAATCTTTTTTATCTTCTGTGACTAATATCTGAAAATCTCGTTACTATATAAGTTTAAATAAATTAAGATTTGTCAATTGAATTGTGAGATAATCGNAAAGGTTGTGCCTTCTTGCGTGACAATAAAAAAAAAAAAATTGTAATTAATTAATCAGAAACGTATTTTTATACATTTAAATAGTATAAGGAAAGGGTTGACAAGGTTATCATCACGTAATTTTCTTTCAAAAAAATTGCCGAAAGAATTGTTGCTATATACTAGTTCTTCTTGTATTCGCCACACTCCTTTCTTAATGTATTTTTTACACATTAATGGATTACAATTATTGTAATTTGTTATTGTAGTTTTTTCAGTAAATGATTATTACTCTAAATTACATTTAAGTGTGAAACAATGTCGAAAATTTTGTATACGCTTTGTAAGTTAATGTAGACATTAAAAATAATTTATTTAAATTTTCTTTTATATTTGAAATAAAGGCTTTTTTTATTTAAAAATCCGAGCATGTAAAAAACATAAAGTATTATAAAATAGCTTTAAATTTCTTCAGAAATTCGATTTTCTTGTTATAATTCAAGAATAAATCATTGAAGCATAAAAACAGGAAAGAAATTTTGGGAAGGTTTTTCCATCTATTCTTATACTTTATTTCTGTGTTTCACTCAAAAATTTCAATGTCATTCTTAAAGATTAAATGTATAAAACAATAAATGATAAATTGTATAGTTAAAAAGGAAGATAAAATTATAAACATTTGGTTTTCAAGTATGCAATTTCTAAATAATAAATCTGTACTAATAATTAAGACAAGAATGGAAATTCTTTTTTATGAAAATTAATTTCTTTGTTTTCTTCTATAGCATTATAATTTTTTAAATTAAAATCTACCGTATTTTTAGAATTACGGCGTATAAAAGATACGTATAAGCTATATATAGCCTAAACAAAACAAATAATTTTTTTAAAAATTTAATTAGTTTAGTAGTTATATTCGATGACCTAAAACTTTATTAAACCGTTAAGTAAACTTACGATATAGAGTATAAAATGTTGCGTTATACTTTCAATAATAGATCTCGTATTAATCACAGTATTTATCTGCATAGCTTTTAATCTTTGTACCAGATTTGACTTAAGGAAGAACTCTTTTATCTTTTGATATAAAATCCCTGAAACTTTAGAACTTTTGTAGTTGTTTATCTGTTGTATTCATAGATAAAACTTAAAGATAAATGAAAGCGAATTGATAGACCTACCGCCGAATCAATTGTAAATACCCTATGATATTCTTTGTAAATCATTTAGATAAATATATTTTAAATCTATGATTGTGTTGATTCATTTATTTCAAAATAATATTAGATACTTTTTTTTTTAAAAAGTTATTTTCTACCACTTTTTTCTTATGGATAGGCCTAAAAACATAAGAAAATCTGTAGATCTAATTAAATTAAATTAAAATTAATCAATGATAATTTATAAAGAAAGGATAAATAATTTTAAAAGAAATAATTTAAATCAATTTAAAACATGAATAATTTAAATTATTTATTTTAATTACAGTATTAGAAAGAAATTGATTTAAAAAAACAGATATTCAATTCTAATTATGTTTTCATTTATAAAATTCTATTGATAATAAAATAATTTGATAAAAATAATTGTTTTCATTCATTATATTAAATTGTATAGTACGTTAAATAAGTCTTAAATTTCAATTTCATAATTTATATAAGTAACTTCGACTGTAAAAATATCTAAATCATATCTAAACATAAATGAAAATGTTATAAAAACACTTGTTTATAAATATTTTAAAAATAATCTTATAATGTATACTGGATGTTACCATCGTATCTGAATATAAATTGTATGTAAACACCTTGTAGTCTGTATTTGCATCAATTACATAAGCTTATTTATTTTTGTAGTATCATAAGTTAACTTATTTTATTTAAATATTGTATTGAGTTTTTATCTTTTTGTTACCGTTTTCACAACAGTGAAGCAAAAATGTTTATTTATTTGTAAAACGTTGGATGTTACCATTCCTTGTAATGTTATAGGTTTTTATTTTGTCGCGGAAAGCCAGTGGGTAAACATTTCTGAACAAATATTGTATTTTTCATACTGTCTGATTGACCCTATCTGCTCAGTATCCTACTGAGACCTTATCTTCTTTATCCACTTACTCATCTCTTCATTCCTGCCTTTCTTTAGTCTACATCTTTAAATAGGGCTTATTCCTAATAATAATAATGTAAATTCATTAATAAGTTATATCTTTATCAAAAGCTTCTATCAAAAGCTTCTATGTTCAATTTTGTGTAATTTATTTAATACGCATTTAATACGTTGAAAAAAATAAAATATGATGAGATGTTAAATAACAAAACATTTAAATACCAAAGATCACACGGAAAATTTACATTTATAATTAAAATAACGAGAATGTCGTTACACAACCGTGTGTAATAACGCATCCTCTCTTTCCAATGTTGTTTCACAATAATCGATTTGGTTGGGAAAGGGAAATATCATCACCGTTNTGCTACTATTAAAGCAGTTAACAATAAATATATAGTATTTTTTTACCAGGTATAATGTTCATTGATTCTTATTTTTATTTGTTCTCTGTAGATCATTTATAACATAAAATATTTTACATATTATGATATTTTTTGTACTTGTACACACAAAATATTATAAATATGAAGTTATTTATAAAACAATGAAATATTTCAAAAATTTGATTCTCAGAAACAAAATAAGATACATTATTTTAATCTAGGACCATTTCAAATTTTTACATTGGCTATAAGTTCTCAGTATGGGCTCTATTTGTTGTATGTCATAGAACAAGTTGATATGTCAGTTCATTCATCACTTTGACTAAGTATCAGGCCTTCTGGCTTTAACATCACATTCTATTCTTCTTCATAAATCTTTAAATGATTAAAGCAGAGATGTAAACAAGATCTTTTATATAATCTCATAACCATTTATGGATCTATAAAGATCATATCAGAAAATCTGAGAGACCAGCATATAAGTATCCTCTTTGTCACCTTATGCTGGTCTCCCTTTGTCCAATCTACCAAAGAAAGTCTAATTCAGGAAATTAGAGATGACCAGATTCTAGTGTATCGGTGCTCTATCTAATTGAAAACTGAAGTCCTCCTAGACTTCAGGTTACAATTAGATTGAGTGTTATAACTAGATAGAGTGATACAACAAAAACACATTAGCTGAAAGTTTGTTAAACAATGACTATCTGTGTACCAGTATATAAAAGTAGAGCAATGATTATCCGAATACTGATCAACCAAAATATCAGTTAACTGAAAGTGTTGCAGTTGGCTGTGGTGCTGCAATATTTGGCTATGTCTTGGGCTACTCCAATATTATTTTGTTGGTGTGCATGTTTTAGCTGGCATCACTGGTGTGACCATGAGAGGGTACTTAAGATCGTGCCAGTATTTGAATGAAGCTTTTCTTTCCTATCGTGAGTAGTGAGTTTTGCTTGTTTTGTTTGGTGTTTTTCTAAGGACTGTGTGTTGGGACATGTGTCATACTGAATCAGGATCCGTTTCCATCGGGGACATTAATTTTCGATCTGTGAATTCCACACTTGTAACAGATCGTTTTGTAGTTGTTGTACCATTCGCAATGGCAACTAAATGTAAATGTGTTGTTCTCAGTGTTTCCAATAAACTTAAAATGATAGATCAGTTGAAGAGTGATGCTAGTGGATCAAGCTTAGCTTGGGAATATGAAGTTGAAAATGCTGCAATATTGGACATTAAAAAGAACAGTGATGCCATTAAAAAATTTGCAAGTGTACTTGACAGTGAAGATGGAAGCTTGCACAGAAAAATGATGAAAATGGCAGAAAACCAGAATTTGGACACTGCAGTTTACACATGGTTTATGCAGGTACATAGCCAAGGCAACCAATAAGTGGCTCTTTGATTTGTGAAAAAGCTCTTGAAATGAACAAGAAACTAGGGGGTAATTCTGATTTTAAAGCGACTATTGGGTGGCTTATGTATTTCAAATCTAGGCATGGAATTAGGGAATTGGACATCCATGGTGAAAAACTGTTGGCTGATACTGAATCAGAGGAATGTTTGAAAGAGTCATTTAAAAACATGATTGATAAGGAGGGCTACAAAAAGTCCAATGTCTACAATGCAGGTTTGTACTGGAAGAAAATGCCAACAAAAACCCTAGTTTGTAAGAATGAAATGTCAGCATCTAGTTTTAAGGCAAGCAAATCACACATCATTGTTATGGTATGCGGAAATGTTACCGGAATGCACAGGCTACCTTTGCTAATCATAAGAAAGTCTAAAAGTCCACAGTGCTTTAAGGAATAAAAAAATTGCCGGTTACCTACAAAAGTCAAAAGAATTCATGGATGGATACAACCATTTTTATAGAATGGTAAGACACTGTATTTATCCTTGAAGTCAAAAAGCATCAGCTTAAAACTGAGAATTCTGGAAATGTTTTGTTGTTGATTGATAGTGTCCCTAGTCATTCCTCAAACATTTCACTAGAAAGAGAAAATGGAAAATTTAAAGTTGTTTTCTTGCCTCCCAACGTTACTTCAGTCCTCCAACCAATGGATCAGGGGGTTATTGAAAGCGTCAAACAATATTACAGAAAGGCATTGCTGTGTATGGTAATAATCGGGGAACAATGTGAAAAAATAATTCAGCAAGTGTACGCTGAAATTAACTTAAAGAATGCTATGTACTGTACATGGCAGCAGAAGTTTGGGCTACTGTCAAGGATACTATACTGGCAACAGTTTGGAATAAGCTCCTACCATCAGAGGAGTCTATCGCTGCACCTGAAGAGCCACCAAACAGCCAATTTGTATCACAACTGTTTGGGCTAATTAAAGAATGTTCTGGGTTTGAAGAATGCGACAAGGAAAACATTCAAGACTGGCTTGCGTATGATTTCAATGACCCTGGCTATCAGATATTGTTAGACGATGAAATCATTGCCAGTGTCATTGATGACCAAGACCCTTGCAACAATGAGGAACAGCCTAATGATGATGACCGTGCTGAAAAAGGACCATCCAGTGAGGAATCTTTTCACTGCCTTGAGATGGCTATGAAGTGGTTAGAACAGCAAGAAGAATGTGATGCTATTCAATTGCTGTCTTTAAAACATGTGCAAGTTTTACTGGCAAAAAAAAACAAGTCTCAGCTGTGAAGCAAAAGACAATTTTGGACTTCTTTTCCTAAACTGTAGGCCTACTTTATGTAAGGTATGTAACTCGTTTCTGCATCGGAATGTTTTTGATACTAGATTAACTTACAAAATATAATTTTTTTTCTGTTTTTATATTTTTCAATATATTTATTTTGTTTGTGCAAAATAAAGAAATAATTTTGAACGATACAATAGCACCGATTATTATTTTAAAAAACATTTTTGTTAGGCTTAACATCGAAAAAATTCAATGCGAAGTGTCACGCAACAGAGAAAAATTTCAACATGGGATATGTTAATATATTTTTTCATACATGATAGGTTATTTAAAAATTAATTAAAAACTTACTAATGTGAGGTAGGAATAAGGACTTATCAGACCAGTGATAATAAGCACAAACACCCAGGTATCAATGGAATACATTTAATAAAATGAGAAGGGATGTACATTAAAAATGATTAAATTAATAATTGACATGAAATAACCAAAATAACCAAAATGCATTTCGGACTATTGGAATAGTCCCTCTTCAGTTGGTATACATATATAAAAAGGTGAGATACTTAAAATTATACAAGACAAAGGAACCGTTATAAAGGTATGATTATTGAGCAATAAATGGGTGTAGAGGAGACAGGCTTAAGGTGGCTTCATTATGTTACATGGTAGCTTGACATAAGGGTTACTATTATAAACAGTATTAAAATTAGCAGAATAATAAGGTAATTGTTTTACAAATAAGTTATATCTACATACCATAACAGTAGTAAGATGGAGTTTGAAGGTGGTATTGCTACAAGATGCAGAGCAGTTATGAAGGAGGTGTGTTACAGGCAACATGCATTTTGGTTATTTCATGTCAATTGTTAATTTAATTGTTTTTAATGTACACCCCTTCTTGTTTTATTAAATGTATTCAATTGATACCTGGGTGTTTGTGCTTATTATTACTGGTGTGATAAGGCCTTATTCCTACCTCACATTAGTAGGTTTTTAATTAATTTAATTAAACCAAGGGCAAAAAGCAATGTTTTATATTAATGATCAGTTATCCGAACAACCCCAATCCTGAATTGTTTTGGATAATCAATGCTCTACTGTATATATTATTTTATTTTCTTAGGGAAGATAAATTTACATTAAATTATTATTTTTTATATAATTCATTCTTATACTTGTATTAAAAAGTATATTATTCTTTTCAGATATTGATGAATGTACTCTTGGAAGTGATAATTGTAACAGACAAACTCAGATTTGTTCAAATACAATTGGTTCATATACTTGTATCCCACACACATTTGAAAATTGTCCAGTAGGATTTCGTAAAGATTTAAATTCTGCAGGCTGCTTAGGTAAGAAATATGAAATTAATGTCATTTATGGATATATTATTTTTATTAAATTATAATTTAAATAACAAAATTTGTAGATATTGATGAATGTGCAGAAGGATTAGATGCTTGTAATCGTAATGAGGAAATATGTGTTAATACATATGGAAAGTATCAGTGTGAACCAAAGAAAACTCAGAATTGTCCAGCTGGATTTAAGTTCAATGATAATAAAGAATGTGAAGGTATTCAATGGTCATTATATGAATTGCTAAATCAGTTTTATCAGAAATTTTGAAATTACAATTTAATTAATATTTCAATCTAGCTGTAGTTGTTTTGTATTGTTTTTGTTTGTTAATAACAAGTTCATATTTAGTTTAATGTCTATTTATGTGCTGTTATTTTGTAGTATCAGTGTTTTTGTAATGTTTATAAATCTAAGTAAATATAGTACATACAGTCTGCAGTGTTGTCCTTTTTTGTAAAAATTATAAAAAGATGTAGATGAATGCCTTGAAAACATTCATGGATGTGATGATACAACAGAAAGTTGTCAAAACACAATTGGTGGATATAAATGTAATATAAAATGCAATGAAGGATATGTCTTCAATCCTGCACTGGCCAGATGTGATGGTAAGTGTATTATAATTATTTTTTTAATAATAAGTTTAACATATTTATTTAATTTTGTTCAATTTCTGTATATTGTTACTTTGTATACAAATGCTACATAAATTTTAAAATGTAAATATTATAAAAGAGTATTAACATTTGGCATTTAACACAATACACACCATTGTATCTAAACCAAAAAGAATACAGGATATCCAAAAGCAGTGGAAAAGGTTTAAGTAAAGTTTTTTAGATTAGGTTAGGTCTACATATGGCATTGCATTATGAGACTTGGTCTCAAATGCAATGTTGTATGTACTTTAA